CTTGTCTTTGTCTCCCGGACCTCATTGAGCAAGGACAACTTCCTTTTCCAGGTCAGAGACAGAGAGCATATGAAGATAACCTAATTAACTGGCTTGTAATGATTTGATTTGTGAGTTTCTAACATTTAAGTGTGTTACACAACAGATGATGACATGAGTGTGGAAATTACCGGAGTGTCTGGAATGGATGGCCCTTTGCATCGTCAAGACTTGCCAAGTTTTTGTAGAGTCAAACAAACTGACCACCCAGCTCTTCAATTTGCCATCACTTGGACCCAAGCCCAAAGACGATCCTCAGCTCTCATCCTCGACACAGTTTATGAACTCGACGCTTCATGTCTCTCCCACATGGCCCTCATGTTTCCCAAAATTTACACCCTTGGACCACTCCACGCCCTCCTCAATGCTCAAATAGGTAATGTGTCCAAGAGTCTGGCATCCCACGGCGGTCTTTGGAAAAGCGACCCAAATTGCATGACGTGGCTCGATTTCCAGCCGTCCAGATCTGTTATCTACGTCAGTTTCGGGACTTTGGTCAACTTGACACGTGCCCAAATAATAGAGTTTTGGTACGGCCTGGTCAATAGTAGACACCCCTTCATGTGGGTCATAAGATCTGACATCATATATAGGGCCCATCAAATACCAGCCGAGCTTGAAATTGGTACAAAAGAAAGAGGTTACATAGTGGATTGGGTTTCGCAAGAGGAGGTCTTGGCCCACAAAGCAGTGGGTGGGTTTTTGACTCACAGTGGTTGGAACTCGACGCTTGAGAGCATTGTGGCTGGGCTTCCTATGATCTGTTGGCCCAATTTGGGGGACCATTATATTATTAGCAGAACTGTTAGTCAGAAGTGGAAAATTGGTCTCCAGTTGAAGGAAAATTGTGACAGATGCAACATTGAAACCATGATCCAAACTTTGATGGGACCCAAAAGGGAGGAGATCCAGAGCTCCATGGACACCATTTCCAAATTGGCTCGTGACAGTGTCGTCAAAGGTGGATCCTCCCACAACAACTTGGAGCAGCTCATCGAACACATTCGAAGTTTGCAACACCACAACTAGTTTTCACTAGAATTTCTTGTGTTGTTCCATTCCTTTGGCATTGGTGCATTGAAATATGGTTGTTTTTACTTTGCAAACCTTTTGGTTGTGACTTGTAATAGATTGATCAATTATTAATAAATAAAATCAGATACCCTTTTTATTTGGTTGCAGATAACACCGATCGATTAAAACTTGCAGCTCCATGTGTGGCAAATTCTCATGGGAGACACAAGCAATAATGTGAAAAACCCAGGAAAAGAAGAAAAAAGAAAAAGAAATGCTCTCATGACAATGACACAGCAATAGCATATTATTCCATGCATAATTATCTTCTCTTTCATAAAGAGGATTCTCTCTCCAGAAATTTCAGCAATATGTGCACCGTTGCCATAGATATTTCTCACATCACTATATCCTTTTCCTTCCAACCATTCAATTTTGGCCTATAAATACAGCTTTCTACTCCCCCTTAACTTCACAGCATTGAGAGATTAAAGCTAGCTAGCCAGTGCGTGCGTGTGTGTCCTTTTTTTACAAAGATCATGGCACTAATTCCTCGTACCATTTTTGTTGGTCACTATGATCCTTTCTGCCACGATGTTTGGGACCCATTTCAGGAATTCCACTATGGATTTCCAAGAGAAGCAACCTCCTTCACCAACTCCATGATTGATTGGAAGGAGACCTCAGATGGGCGCGCGTATGTACTCAAGGAAGATCTTCCAGGCTTCAGGAGAGAAGAAGTAAAGGTGGATGTGGAGGAGGGTAGGGTTCTTCGCATTAGGGGGGAGAAAAATGTGGAGAGAGAAGAGAAGAAGGACCATTGGCACCGCATCGAAAGGAGCAGCGGCAAGTTCATCAGGCGTTTGAGTTTGCCTGAGAATGCCAAGGCTGACAAGATGAAGGTGTTCATGGAAAATGGAGAGCTCACTGTCACGGTTCCTAAGGAGAAGGTTAATTTCTATCCTCATGCAACCAGAGCCGTTCAAATTTCTGGGCACTAAGAATTATTATTATTATAAATGTGGTTATTATAAACCAAGTGTAGCATGGTTCCATGAATTAATATAACAAACGAATAATGATCCTACTCCATTTGGCTATAAAACAGTTTTCTAATTTGTTTGCTTTGCAGTTGTGAGTTAAGCCATATGGCAATATGCCATCCCTATTGCGCTTGAGTTTAATTTTTCCGTCATGTAATTTAGAGAAATTTAAACTATCGTTTGTACAAAAGCAAATATGTTTATTTTGAACTTTCTATATCAGATCATGATGAACATAATTTCATAAGGTAATGTCTTTAAAGTCTATTTTCCGATGAGTAGTTTCATAGCTATTCACTTATCTATCAATCCAGAAGTTGTGATGAAGTATCATGGAGAAAGAAGTGAAAAAAACCACTCTTTTAAATCCACTAATTCATCGAAATCAAACATTATATCAAATTTCATCAAAATTTTATCTTGAAATTGATGGATTTGGAAATATAATATATAGCTTTAACTTTCCCCTCAATTTTGTTTTTCAATTTTCCCATACTAACCATGCGCAAAATCAATTAACGCATGGAAGATAAGACAGAGAAAATGATGGATGGTTTTTTTCACTCAATTTCCAATTGTGTTCCTGCACTATAGGAATCCACAACGAAAACAAAGTGTGTCATCAAACATTTCCCTTCGATTATGTCTTTCAAGTTTCAAATCCCACAATTTTTTTATTATTTGGAACAACACTACTTGCTATGTACAATATCTTCGTCACTATCTAGACTTGAATCTCCAGTTTCATTTTGTTCTTTGTTTTCAGACTAAAACTAGGTTTTCTTTTGGGTATTTGGTACTCTTTTATCTTTGGTTTTTTGAGGTTTGTTTTCTTTTTGTTTTATGAATAAATGTTTCTTGGCACCTGCGGTGTTCTTTTTTGGAAAACAGAGGAGCACGGGCCGCGAAGATGGGATGTCCAAGTGAAGAATGCTGAGATGGATTGCTCTGATCGTAGACAGAGCAAGACAGAGAGCTACAAAGGTAATGATGCTTCTAATGGTTTCTTGTCGTCTCCGTGTAATTCGAGTTTGTCAAATGAAGGGAGCTCCAAATCTAAGAAAGAGAGCTCTAGAACATGTGAAGCTATAAAGAACAGGAATTTGGTCGCGGACGACAATGCTAAGGCTCATCATCAAAGAAGTGTTTCACTTGGGAACGTATGTAAATCTCCTCAGAATTTCAAAGATGGCCAAGCAATTGAAGCAAGGCCTAAAAACCATGTATTAGGCCTTGGAAGACGTCATTATGGGCATGGAAACATTACAAGGAGGGTCAATGTGGCTGCTGGCAATGAGAGCATGCCAAAATCTCCAAATTTCTTAAGTTCACAATCTTCCTCTGCATACCATGAGAGTTTGGAAGTGCTTAACAACATGGGTAATATGGAGTGCAGAAGGGCCAGCTTCTTGGGCGCAATTTCTTTTTATGATAAAGCTATTGCCTTGTGCGCTGCCATAACAATAAGGGATGCACCAGCGCCTAGGTGCCACGTGTCAAACCAGTAACACCGGGTGGCTATACTATTTTCTTTTTAAAAAGAGAAACGAGTATCGACGAACGGCTATACTATTTCATTAAAATAAAAATTCAAAAAAATCAAGTGTAGCCGGTCGGCTATACTTTATATATAAAAACCAGCCCAATGCCAATTCGCCACATGTCAAAACGGTAACGCCGTGCGGCTGTAATGTATTGGAAAACAATTTAAAAATCGTATAGCCGTGCGGCTATACAATTTTTTAAATATATTAAATAGCAATTAAAATATAATAACTGATTAAAGTATGGGAGTTTCACTAAAACACCCAAAATGGAGGTTGAAATTATAAAAAAAACTCAAGCACTATTTAAACAGAAGTGAAGAAACGAATTTTATATTTTTGAATTCGCTGGATTAAATTTTCTGTATATAAGTATAGCCGTATGGCTATACTATTTATATATATAAAAAAGGACGCACCCATGTGATAGGTGTCACGTGTCTAGTAAGCCGGAGTAACCGGAAAAAAATTCAAAAAGGTAAAGCCGTTCGGCTAGACTATTTTTTAAAACAATTTAGAAAAACGAGTATATAGCCACACGAAACTCTGAGAGCAACCTGTTTGATAATTTCTGGCCCCATTAATTCTTTGGATTTGCCAACTTTCAATGAATAAAAATAAATTGAAAGTCTGTTGTTTGCCAATTAAGGTTTTACTGTAGAAAGTCATTGTATTTTACCAGAAGAATAAAATGTCCAGAATTACTCTGATCAACAAACAAGCAAAACCAAGCCAAGAAAGCACAACCAGATGGCTTAAAAGCTCAAACACTGAAATGGGGTTGGGCTCAATATTGTAGCAGACCCAAACCAGCTGCTGCTACATCAGTTTCCACGTGGCAATCAGGGTTGGTGTGCATGGACTGAGGGACTAGTGACAAGTCATGAAATATCCAACATCTCCTTATTCCTTTTCTGGTTTCAGTCTGAGCCTCCTTTTAAGCCTCAGAGAGAGAGAGAGAGAGAGAGAGAGAGAATAATAGTTTTGGTTTGAGTCTGGCAGCTTTCGTGCAGGAATTGCTTGGAAACCAGTCATGCTCATACTCACAGCTCATCTGTGAACTAATCCCAATTCCACTCCTACGCGCACCTCCATCACCTTCCACATTTCCACTCACACTTATATAAGGTTTAAATACTTTTTCTCGTAGATTAGATTAATTTACAAATGAATATCATTTGTAAGATTTAATCATTTAAAATCTTAATTGTTGGGTAGATTAGATTTATTAAGAGAAATCATCTCTTTACAGATATATTTTGCATGCAATTTTCTTAAACTTGGAATTAAATTAATTGGCATAAATAAAAATGAGCTTCTGTTGTGAGACCACAAAAGTTGATAATGATATGATGCTGCAGCAACAAAATAAAGAGCGTGAGCTACCACGAGTTCAAAACGAGAGAAATTCTCATTCTGTTCCCTCTTTCGTGGGTCCATAAACCCTTGCCTTGCGTCCGTTTCGCCGACTGCCATATGCCCACATTTTAATCTATTACATCATCTTCTACCATTCTTCATGTTCATCAATCAACCATATACAATACATATATATATATATATGGACAATTGTCGAAAATATTAGGCTAGCCATTACAATTGCCCAATCAAAACTCTGCTATAAACTAACCAAATGGCTGCTTCACATCACAACATCCCATCTCCGCCGTTTCCGGCGTTTAATGCCAGTACTGGGTTCATGCCCACGCGCCGCCGCAAGATGATGATGCACATGACCTTCTTCTGGGGCCACAGCGCCGAGGTTCTCTTCTCAGGTTGGCCCGGCCGCGACAACCCGGTCATGTACGCCCTCTCGCTGCTCTGCGTCTTCGTTCTCGCCGTCCTCGTCGAGCTGCTCTCCCACTGCAGCTTCTTCAAGCCCGGCGCGAACGGCGTCGCGGTGGGGTTTCTGCAGACTGGTCTCTACACGCTGCGCTCCGGGCTGTCGTATTTGGTGATGCTCGCCGTCATGTCGTTTAATGGCGGCGTTTTCCTCGCCGTGGTGGCGGGGCATGCGGTCGGGTTTTTGCTTTTCGGGAGCCGGGCTTTTAAGAAGTCGTACGGGTCGGGTATTGATAGACAGGCGAGTCTTCCTCCCATGACGTGCGGATAATAACGATTCTTGGGTGGGTTTTTTTTTTTCTTTTTTCTTTTTCTTTTTGTTGTAAATTTATGAAAGGGTGACCTTTTTTTAATTTAACTTTCTCTGTGTTCTGCATTTTAATTTACAAAATAGTTCAAAGCTTTAAATTAATCTAATTTACGGGGAGGGGAATTCGAACTTACTGTTCACAGTCCTGAGTAACCGACCTAACTTGTGTTTTGCATTTCAGTGCATTGGCATGACTCACTACATGTTGTAATATTTGGAATTAGTAGTGTGTTTAATAAATAAAAATAATAATCATGTTTGGAATTGATCACCTCTCAATTTATGTGTACTATACCATCTTTAGAATAACTCTAAAAAGGCCACTTGTCCCTAATCCCTTTGTAATCACCCCCAAATTAAGCCAAAAAAACATTGGTTTCAACACTAATCTGTCTTTATTGTAACCTAATCTACAAGAGAACCTTGCAAAGCCCAGCCCACAAAACCACATCCCATCTCTTCCTCTCTGAGAGAAATGTAAAGTCTCTCACTCAAGCAAAGCAAGGGCAGAATGGAGGGCATGCCCAAGATGAACATGCAGATGAGCTTCCACTGGGGCAATGAGGCCACAATTCTATTCACTGGGTGGCCTAACCAAACCACTGGCATGTACATATTGGCACTCTTCTTTGTGTTTGTGCTGGCCTTTGCTAAGGAAGCTTTGTCTGTGTGGCCCATTATTAAACAAACCACCAATCCGATGGTGGCCGGGATTGCTCAGACCTCTGTTTACTCTGTTCGAGTCGGCATGGGCTACTTGGTCATGCTCGCTGTCATGTCTTTCAACGTCGGGATCTTCATAGCCGCGGTGGCAGGCCACACCTTTGGGGACTTCGTAGTCAAGGCCAGTTCTTTAGCTCTGGCAAAACCTTCCCAGCCTGAAGTCTGAGTTTGTGCCCATATGTTGATTAGTTTTATTATTCTACCATTTTTGTAAATGAATTGGCTTTACTTTTAGCACAAGGAAATGAAAGGAAATGAATTCTGTCGTGAAGAATATCTTGCTCTGATGTGACTCTGTTATATGAAACCAGTGAATCAACCGATGGATTCCTTTTTTTTTTTTTTTTACTTCACGAACAAAATGAACCATTAAAACCAGAATAATTTTATTTGTTCGGTAAGTTGCTCGAACACAGCACTAGCCAGCACAACCAATCCTATCGTATGAGGGGGTCTATTCGGCCATTTCCTATGTATAAAATTATAAACCTGCCCATTCCTTAATTCCACTTTCTAAGCACCAATTGACTTTGCTAATTTTTTTTGTATACAAGTTAAGCTCGATTAATGGTCTGTGTTGAGTCTAGAAACATAAAAGTCGAGAGCATTTCTCAAGTTTAATATAGTGGGAAATTTACTTTTTAAAAAGAAAGCATACGAAGAAACAAACAAAACCCATGTAAAATAAAAGAGAATATGAGCTATCAGAAGGCCACTTACCTCTCAACCCTCGTCATCACCTCCAACAGCGTTGCTTTCCAGCTCCTCCATTCATTAAATTAAAACCAACAAGAAAAATCCCTTTTCCCCAAAAACCAGATCATCCAAAGTAATTAACCTTGCAATCTCCAAACTCTCTCTCTGTCTCCTCTCTTCTCTCTCTCTCTCTCTCACACACAGAGAAGCAGAGAGAGATGTCTAACCAAGATGACATGGCTGGCATGCCTGGCATGTCTATGACTCCCCCTGCGCCCAAGGGCGACCTGAAGAACACAACTGATGGTGCCATGAGCTCTAGCCTCACATGGACCACAGACGTCACCGTCCTCTTCCGTGGTTGGCCTGATGACAGCGTTCCCATGTACGTCTTGGCCCTCTTCTTCGTCTTCCTTCTCGCTGTTGCCGTTGAAGTCCTGTCTGTTTCGCCCAAACACAAACCAGGCACCAAGACTTTCATATGCACCCTCACTCAAACAGGCGTCTACACTTTTCGCACAGCTTTGGCTTACTTGGTCATGCTCGCTGTCATGTCGTTCAATACTGGTATCCTGATAGCCGCCGTGGCCGGCCATGCCCTCGGCTTCTTCATCATCAAGGTTCGTTCTCATGGCCTCCAACCCAACGTAGCCGACCCCAAAGTTTGATTTGTCGTCTTCCTGATCGGTGCTTGAGTTTATAGTTTGTTTTTGTCACCTTTTTTGTGTGGGTTTTCTGTGTGCTTGTCGTTTTGTGTTTTAGTGTCTCATCAGGGATATTGCTATTTGTATTATCTCAACTGATCATCTAGCGTACTATCTCTCTAATAGAGTTTAAATCCGTACAACAGGTGATCCCATTTTTATTAGAGAGATGGTAGATTAAATGGTTAGTTGAGATAATAGAAATAGGTATTATTTTTTCTTTTAAGTTTTATGTGTGGTGGTTGTTCTGTGTTTAGCTAGTTTGGTTGTGGTTTGAAATTTGACTTGCTATTGTATGATATTCTGCATGTTTCTGTTCAATGTCTTAATGCAGCTCTAATATGATAATTACCATCCATCATTGTCTTAAAAAGGGTATCATTATTGCTAATACGATTATTGGTTAATTATTACAATGAGAGAGAGAGAGAGAGAGAGAGAGAGAGAGAGAGAGAGAGAGAGAGGATTAACGAGATAAAAACAAATATAATCAACAAATGACCCAGTTAAATACAAAATGACAAAATAAAATACCTGGTAGAAAGAAAGGCCCCAAACGACTCTGTAATTGGTGCATGGCGTCTTCTTCCATAACTCAAGGTCGAGATGAATTAGGTCAAATGGCTCTTACAGAAACAGAAACCGTCCTTGAGACCTCGAAAGTGATTGGTGACGTTCGCTTCTCCACCTCAGTCTGTAACCTTAACAATTGACCTGATGATTATGCAAGCAGTGAAGAAGAATCAATGGTTCACAGGGACCCTTGAAACTTGAAAGTCAAAAGATTTTTGGAGCTCTTCAAGCTCACGCAAGAAATTAAACTAATTTTATTTCCACCGTTTGTGGAGTATAATAAGAAGCATGATTTAACGTTTGTATTTGGACTTTTCTATTCGCTCTATAGTCTACAATTGGTTACAAACACTTGAACCTTTCACTATAAACCCATCTATAATTAAACCACTGGTGAGGCCAATGGCCGGAACACCATTGAACTGCAACTTCAAAAACTAACAATGCCCGACTTAAAAACATTAAGAAGAGACGTGTGATTACAAAATGGTGCATCCTGGCCGCCCGAGGGCTGCGAGTAGTCGTCTGGGCCAGAGGCGAGAAAGCCAAGAAGTTCTAGGTGCGTCGTCTGCGGTTTCATGAGATTCGTCTGAATGATCACCGTCAGTATCCTCCTTATCATCATTCTTGTGGATTTCACCTGCAGTCTCGTCTACATCTTCAGTTCCAGCCTCTGCAATTTCCCCTGGCTTCTTGTCAAATAGTCCTTTAAATTGTTTCCGCACCTTCTTCTCCACTTCCTGATTATTAGTTGCAAGACATAGATAATGGCATAAACAATTTGCACTCCATCTCAAACCATCAAAAACAAACTTGTTGCTGCTCAACTCAACTCACCTGTTCCTTCTGCTTTACTTTTAGCAGAGCAGCTGTTGCATCAGGTTCAGTTGACTTGTCAAGTTTAATCATCTAATAGCATCCACAAGAGAAATCAGAAAGGGATACAAGTGTTTAAAAATAAATTAATACAATATTACTGAATTATTTATAAACATTACCGTGTTGAAGTCACTCTTTGCTTCCTCGAAATCTCCAACTGTCATGTAGGCCATTCCTCGCCGGTAGAGAGCCTTGACATGTCCAGGGTTTGCTTCTAAAACCTAGATAATTCCATCAGGAACAAGTTAAAAACCAAAGTCCAAAGAATTGACTTCAGACTACAATACCAAAGTCCAAGGACATACCTTGTTGCATGTCTCTATGGATTTTCTGCACTCTCCCATCTTCAGGTAGCATGCAGCCACATTCAGATGTAACAAATTCTACAAACATTCAAAAGTAAAATCCATTATCAAAATCATTGGCGTAAAGCTATCAAACATACAGGTTGTGTTACTCAAGTTAGAGAAGATGAAACGAACATGTTTCACTCTTACAAGAATCAAGAATTAAACAATTCGGGAATACTTATCCCCTCTAGTAAAAGAATTAAATGTACAATAAGACACCCAAAGGAGAAATACAAGAAGCAAAGGAAACTGATTACCCTTGTATTTGAAAATATTTTCCCTTCTTCATCATCTTGTGGATTAACATGATTAAATTCCCGTAGCACCTGCATAACAATCATCCAACAGATTCGACAATAAAAGCACAATAGACACATTTTTAATGACTTCATGGAGACAGTAGCAATTATGATTTAATAAAATGACACACAACATCGGAATGTAGTATTATCATCCGTTTATAAAATGATAAAATTTAACTCACTCATATTGAAACAAGGAACTGGGGTAGTGGCACTTATATTCCAGAATTCAAATCAGTTGTAACAAGTAGCAACCAACTTGCAATGGGATTTAGTTAACAAATGACTGCAGTAAGAAAACTGCTTCTACATGAAGATAGAATGGGTCTACACCCACAGGATACTCACAATTCTAAAGGTGAAGCATGCAAGGAAAGGCATAGTACCTTGTCATACTTTGCCTTAGCAAGTTCAAACTTTCTTTCTTTGAATAGCCTGTTTCCCTGAAATGAAAAATGCATCAAAGTTCCAATTTCACATTATTTTAAAGTCCAACAATCCTACTTGACCAAAAAAAAAAGTTCAAATATCCTACTCTTTGAATGCGGTATAATAATATAAACCAAACTTTGTACCACTAGAAAAACTTGGTACATATGAGCAACCACGAAATTGTGCACGTACACACACAAACAGAACTTTGATGCAATGAGTTTCTGTGTTAACATATCAATAGCAGGTAGATGGTTTGATGCAGCAAGAATTAAATGTTAATAATACATACCGTGTTTCTAATTTTCTCTGCTTCTTCCATTATTGTTTGAAAGTTCAAACCAGTCCAATCCTGCAATAAGTTTGAGAATAAGGCATTAACCACATGGCCTAGTGAAATAGGAATGATGTAGTGTAGAGCTTGAAAGTAAGGACCTATGCAAGAAAAAAATTCAATACATAGTTCAGATAAATTTCCAGGTAACCAGAAAAACATAAAGCATGTCCAAGTATGCAAAGTTTAGTCGCATCAATATCTAAAGCATTCAGAACACCTATGATTAAGTCTACCAATAGACAACCACTTTCAAAGTTACTCTGAGCCAAAAGCTAATACTGGAGCGAGGTTGATAAGATAGATTACAATATAGTATAAATATGACGACTCAAAATTCACTTCTAAAATTATACAAAATATTAAATGACCATTCTCAAAGGTGAAACTTTCATCTCATATTGAAGTAACTACTTGACAGAAGGTCAACATAAAAATTTTAAAATAATTACCCAGGAATATTCAGAAATTATAACCATAACACCATACCAACATTATCAAAATGATATTGGTCAATTTTCAGTTAATTGGTTTATTAGAAACGCTTCGGAGAAAGGACAACTTTGGATTACCTTTGGCATCTCAAAACCAAGAAGCTCGATTTCCCATTGAATATGAGCACCTTCAGGAACATTAGCTGGCCTGATAATATGGGGGAAAAACCAGTGACACACTTGAACTGGAAGAACAAGAGAAATAATGACAGGAGAGGAGACTTCCAATTGTGTTTGTGTGTGTATTATTTTGGGATACTGTTTTTTACAAATCATTATAAAAATTACTGATTGTAAGCTAGTATTCTAAAAGTAACCTAGGGAACTTGTCGTATGCGTAATCAGGAGGACATGTGACGAGAGCTATCTCTTCAGGCACCATCAAACGAACACACATTTCAAATCCCTCAGGCACCTACAATACAAAAGAAAAGTTTCCCCACATTGAATTGAATAGCCCAACTAATCACCATTCATATACAAACAAGGTTAACAACTAGCTTCAATTCCATTATGCAAATCAGCCATCTGAATAAGGAGGTACATGTGACAACCACATGTTAGTCTAACATTTGAATATATATACACATAATATGTATATACCTATATGTGTATATATTGCACAAACAGAAAAGTGAAAATTTCAAACTACACATAAATATTTCATCTCAAAGATTATGAACAACTTACAAGGCCTTCTCCAGAACAGAACTCCAAAGGCTGACCATGGTTATCAACTCTTGTATCAAAGAAGATTGTCTTTTCTTCATTTTGAAGCATGCCCTTGTAATGGACACGTAGTAGGCTGTCTTGAAGAGGGCAATCCATAGGAAACTCACCTAATTGTTCCAAATGTATAAAAGATAAATTACGCTTGATGCATGAATTCAACATATGCAGATAGTCGATCGTGAAATAGACACCAAAACAAAAAAACTACCACTTGAAAAGAAACAGAGTCAATTAGGAAAATCTGACATGAAAAGAAAAAGGAATAGCATTTCTCAATCTATGTTTCTAAGGAATGCAGATTTCTTTAAAACTCTTAAACCCCACCTTTTCCATCACGAATACGCCGTTTAATCAGACGCCCATCCCCAAGCATGTCACGCACCTGATAATACATAACCATAAAGCTAGATCAGAGCCTCATAAATACCCCGCCAAAGCATATCCTTGCCAAAATAGCTATACATGAGATTACCTCAAGAAAAAGATAAGATACGTGAAGAAGCAACTGGACTTATGATAGAAAAGAACTTTGCACACCTGAATAAAGTGGACAAGCTCCACTTCAAAATGAACTTCTTCAAGACCTTCTACAGCAGGCAGAAAAGGAGATGTAGTTAAGTACTGACTGGTGACATATATTACTGCCTTCTCTTCACGTGTCATTGTACCAATTCCCATCTCAAGACCTTCAGGTACCTAGTTTATATTCAAAGACTAATAGTGAATAAAATATAGTAGTATCGTTTAGGCGTAATATTGAAATTGACTTTTAATCCACTCAACCTTAAAGGTCGTATGGCTTGATTTGTTTTAGCATCTATGTATTATATAGTGTTTCAAAGAATGAAATTAGCAGCACCAACATAGCAATTTGAGCACATCAGATAACTCCAGCTAAGAACAATATTACATGAAACAAAGCAAACGAACTAAGCAACCCAAATAAGTGATTAGCAATGGGTTACCAACCTCCGACTTTCCAAAATTAAAGAAAAATGGCTCTCCTTGAGTACGTGTAACAATCACTTTTCCGTCACCTGTCTTTGCACATATCCTGAAAACAGCCATATACCTCTCTTAGAATATTCCAGCATATTCCAATTTACAGTTCAATACAGCAACAGAAAACTTATTGGGAATGGGAAAAACTGTCTTTACCAGGCTTTGACTTCATAAGGTTCCCTTGGACATTCCCAACCCTGACCTTCAGTTATTACCTGCCGTTTAAATGGGGAACCTATTATTTCAAATTTGGGGGAAAAGTACAGAGAATTACCATTTCTACTAAACCATCACCTGCGCAGATTACGGTGATTGAACTTAATCACAAAAAATATATATATATATATATATATATATATATATATATATATCCTGAAAGAATTTCTGAGTTTATAAACACGCTCCTAACTAAGTCAAACAGAAATGCAACAATTTAGTATTTCCTGTACCTTCTTTACAACTCCCAAGTCATCACTAATGACCTGAAAAAGAACCAAAAGTAAATAAATAAGACAGAACACGTGTGAGGTCAGGAGGAGGATGAAGTATCAGAAGCCCAGTGCATGATCACCATCCAAGCAACTGTACTAGGGGAATTTCCACCATGCCAAAGATATTATGATTTAAAAATGCGGATTTCTGTTTTGAAAGTCTTGCCTTGGCTTTAAAGAAATCTATCATCTCAATTTCAAAATGAAGTTCATCATCCTTTGGAAAGCTACTGGGAGCTACAACTGGGCAGTCATCCTCACCATAGTGCACTTGAGGTTTCATTTTGAACTGAAAAAAGAAATATTAAAATCAGTAAACAATGAGCCAGATACACCAGCATGTATAACAAGGAGCTAAAATACACACATTCAAAGGCAGACATCAAGCTCACGAAATGAGGAAGATATTACCATTGCAATTTCACCCTTCAACATTGTTGGAATTCCTTCTAGCAATCCCACTATCATCTTGCTCTTGCCCAAAACATGTCTTATTGGGATACCCTTGCCTGTTAAAAAGTGTTTATTCAATCCAATAAATACAATAGAGCACTTTAACATCATTTTACTCAATGCTCGAGCAAAATGAATCTATATAGACATGTCAAAATGTGCTCAATAGCATGTAATTCGACTTGCCTCCATATTCAGATCTGGAAGATTCAACAACAACTCCATCCAATGTTCTAACAGTATAATGATATACGACCTGCAAAATGTAGAGCACAATTTAGCTTTGACCATTTGCTTCCATAACATTAACCACCAAAACTCATTAACGTGACACAGTTCAATTGCAATAGTGGATAATGAAATGAATAGGTAATGTAAGCTCAACCTGGTAATTATCTGAAGGTGTTGCATCACCTCCACCAGGCCTCACCACTGCCTTCATCAAAGTTCCAGGCGCTATTTTCTGCCTCCTATAATCAGAAAATAAAATCAATTCAATGAAATTCAAGTAGCATTTCACAAACTGATTATCTTGCAATTCAGGAAATAATAACTCAATAAAAAAAATTCAAAAACAAAAACAAATTGAAACTACCTACCTCTTCTCATCTTCTGTAGGTTCTTTCTCCTTCTTCTGTGGCTCAATTTCCTGCACGGCACCTTCTCCTACATCCATCGCCGATCAACGCCGTGAAGCTCCACAGTGACAAAAACCCTAACGCTACATGAAGAAACAAACTTCCGCTCAGCTGAAGCAGTTGGAGTTGGAGATTCCGTACAGTCAATTATCTTCAAAATCACGCAGTTTACCTGAAAATTGAAATTCGGATTGTTGAGGACGAGCCCAGACTGACTGACTCAAGAGTCCATTGATTTTCAAAGCTCCAGCGTCAAATTCTCAGTTGAGTATTTGCTCTCCACTTTTCAACAAAGAAGCTAAAATGGTGACCAGACGGCTATATTTTTACCGCGCGGTAATTGGTACCTGCATTTACCATTTACTGGAGAATGGGTGATTGATCCTAGAGATGATACGGTGGTGACTCGCCCAGGGGATTTGATCTGCTATTTGGCGCCATATGACCAAGCTAGCTGCCTAGGCCGGCTTGTCAGCAGACATGTGGCACCATTATATTGCCGGTAATAAATCGTTGTTACCTACCTTTTATTTTATTTCTTTTGGTAAGGTGTTGTTCACCTAATTAGGGCACCCACTTGATTATCATCCACCGAATATTTAACCTAATTTAAACATTTATAATTTTGTATTCATTTTAGGATCTATTTTTCTAATTATAATCAGTTCTAATTAATCGTTTTTATTATTATGTTTTCATCTGAAGCACTTTCATTCAACTTGGATTAGTTCATGTAGTGATTTGGGTTTAAAATAAGGGAGCTTCATTAATATACTCAAAATATGGACTGAAATTATTAAAAAAAAACCTCACATTGAATGCACTTTAGAAACACACCCAAAACTCATTTACTACATAAGAAATTAGTGTTTAAGTTCTTATAAATTACATGACTGTCATTAATTAACTTAAAAAAGAAAACCAACACAAAAAAACTTAAATAGCACCCAAAACAAGCTCAACCCAATTTTATAAAAAAAACCCAAACAATTCATTACAAACAAAAGGTTTTGAAATCCATAGTTTCATTAACGTGTCATGTTAATTAATAATTATAATGTTCTACACCTTTATTGTCATGTTGATTAATTGTTGTAATGTTACAGTTTAGAGTAATAACACTGGCTGTAATGTTCCAGTGTAGGGTAATAACACTACTAGTTTCCTATAACATCCTATTTCTAATGTATGTTTACCCCTGTAATGTTCCAGTGTCTGGTAATAACACTGCTAGTTTCACATGATATCCTATTTCTAATACATGTCTACCCATGTAATGTTCCAGTCTAAGGTAATAACATTGCTAGTTTACTGTCATGTTAATTAATGGATGTAATGTTCCAATCTAGGATAATAACAATATTAGTTTCATATGACATCCTATTTCTAATGCATGTCTACTCTTGTAATGTTCCAGTCTAGGGTAATAACACTGCTAGTTTCTTATGACATTCTATTTCTAATGCATATCTACCCCTATAATGTTCTAGTCTAAGGTAATAACACTGCTATTTCCTATGACATCCTACTTCTAATGCATGTTTACTCATGTAATGTTCCAGTCTAGGGTAATAACACTGCTAGTTTACTATCATGTTGATTAATACTTGTCATGTTGCTATTTCTAATACATGTCCACCAAAGAAAAGATGAAGAAAGAACAAACCAGACCAACTCAAAACAAGCTGAGCCCAGATTATTAATATTATTATATCATAGAAGTATATTGTTAATACTCTGTCATAAAAGTACATTGTTAATACCCTGTCACAGAAGTAAATTGTTAAACAAAAATGAGATTCTTAACTAAAATAGTAACAAAAGTTGAATCGATCATCAAAGCTAAAAATACATTTCGAAAATCAACTAAAATTCGAAGAGAAACACATAATTGAAGCAAAAGATAAAAAATCTCAAGTCCAAACCAAACGACGACGACGACGATAACAACAACGACGATGTGGCGAAAGAGGAGTAGAGCTCGAAGATGAGGAGTAGAGCTAAGAGCATCTGATCGAGGTTTGTTCGAGGTCTAGAACAATCCGAAAAAAGAAAAAATCAATAGAAACACGATTTTAGAACAAGAAATCGAATGTGAAATATTGAAAATTGTAGATTAAAGATGAAGAATATAGTTGGACATGAAACTGAGCTTCAATGGAAACTCATCTTGCTCCAACACCAGAGAAAACACCAGCAAGAAAGGAGAAAATAAATCTGATTTGGTTTTTTGGCAGATCTGGTTTTTTGGCAGATCTGGGCAGATCTGATTTTCCTCTCTTAAATCCATAGTACAAGGACAATATAGGTATTTAACACAAACAAATATACTAAAAAACAACTATTAAATTAAGCTGTCAATTTTTGGGTTTTTTTTTTTGTGTGTTTATAGTTTTTAAATGGTGTAGGGTTTCTTTATAAAACTATGTCTAAGATTGGGTATATAACTAAATTTCTATTAAAATAATTCCAATTAACGCCGCTTTGTCCAGATTTTTAAATATAAAATCTTAAATGACTTAGCCAAAACAAGATTGTTTTGGAAAGGTGTTGCTTGTTGCTGGTGAGACTTAAAAAATTCATGGTTGGGCCCAAATAAATTTTTAGCCCAGAATGACAGTCTAAGCGTAAAGCAGAGTACACAAAAACTCACCGCATGCACATGCCACGCTAAATAAATAAATTCGCTAGGGGTTGAGATAATATATACCGGGTCTACAAGCCCATGCCAAAATTAAACATCGCAACCCTTCTCAGGAATGATAAATTAAAACATGTCAAGCACGTAATCGTTGTCTCACACCCAACCACGCTACAAGCCTAAGTGGGCCCAAATCACTCAAATGTCCGGGGCTTGCTTGAGTGGGTTATGGCATGTATGGTAATAAATCAACATGAGGCCCATTGATGGGCCGAGAAATGAAAAGTCTCGGGTTGCTTAGGAGCTTCGAGACTCGAGTCCATTTCTTAGGCCCAAACATGTGGGTGAGCACAAGAGAGAAAAATAGCCAAATAGCCCAAGCAAAATAGCCTATGGACACAACCAAAAAGCCCAATATTTAACAAAAATGCCCACTTGCTTAGGGAACCACCTTGGCCCATATAAAACTCCAAAATAAGCCACAAAGCCACAGCCCTTTGCTAAAAAAATAGAAATTACGTTTTACAGAATCATTAAACAAAGACTGCTGGAGGTTGCAGCACATGAGGGAGCAAGTTCCAAGCCAGAGACGCTCAAATAACCAAGGAATACTAGCCTGCAGGCTGTCAGAAGCACCCTTTGGACCAGCATATATTTTCACTTCCTTTTCTTCATCAGATTTGGCCAAAGAAGGGGGAAGGAAAGAAGAAAAAATAGTAGCCAAGAATGGAAGTTCCCACTGAACAGCTGTGGGAAAGGGGGCATTGAGCTCCCAAATTTGCCAAGATAGGGAAGTCAAAGAAGAAGAGGAGAAATGAGAAAAAAAGCTTAGCCAAAATGGGTAGAAGCCATTAGGGTTTCTTGAAAAATGGTGGTTTCTAGCGGCTATAAATTGAGGCTTATCCTACCTAACAAGAGCAACTCAGATTCAGAGAGCAAGCATTCTCTCTAACTTGCAAAAACCCAGCAACCTCGTGCACTGTTCATCTTCTTCTCCATTTTGTTCTTATGGCAGCTGCCAGAAGAACTCTGCTATTCATTTTTTCTTTCCTTAGCCAAATCCCTCACAAAACATCTCATTTCTTACCTTAACACATTCTTTTCTCATAAAGCAAGCCTAAATTCTCTCTAGGTACTAAACTCATGTTGATTTTGCTCCCATACCACATGTCACTCACGCTGAGCTAAAAGGATTATCTGTAAGCATGCCAAAACCACTTGTAAGTTACCATTATTCTGGTTGGTGAAGATAGCCAAAATATTTCTTAAGGCTTTGCTGCCTTTTCGAAGTATTTTTGGGGCTTAATTTTCGAACCCAAACAAAGGGGACAGTCTCCTCAGTCTGCCCTTTACGGCAGCCCATCCCATTATAGCTGCAGGAAGAAAAAGTCCCCTACAGTTGCTTCATTGGGGGCAAAAGATCTAATATTTGGTGGGCAACAACGTTTAACTTTTGGGGTCAAATTTTCCCCCCCAAACAATGATTTTCAACTTGCAAGGGCCAGTTTATCACTCTTAGCCCATTGTAAATTCACCACTAATCGATAATGCAAACGTTGTAGGAACAGATGTCACCCTGTTTGGGTGCGGTCTAAAATCCAATCCGAAGTCAAGTGGAACCCAACTCTAAGAGGTCAAGACCAGAAAAATTCGGAATGGTCTCACTACCCGAATGCCTTTTTGCAAAGGTCAAGTTGGCTGGGATGTGATTTTGGCTGGAGGTGTGTGAGAGCTGGCCAAGCAAGCAGACTTAGCTAGTTTTCAAGATGGAGGTGTGGCTAGGTTTGCTGTTGTGAGGATGGCTGGTTAGGTCTTCAAGTTGCAAAGGAATATTGGGTGTGCTGGCGTGACTTTGTGGCTGAAATTTGTTCACTCTCTAGCTTATATATAAATAAGATGGCCTTACAGTTTGCTTAGTTAAAATTGCATGAAGGCCAACTTGACCTTCACATGTTGATTTGGCCAACTCAATATATATATAATTACAAAGGCCAAGCCTTGGCCTTACGGTTTGACTTGGGCAAAGTGAAGACAAACTCTTGACGTGAGTTTTAGCATGTGTAGCATTTACCTTAGGCCTTTGTGCCTTGAATTTTCCTTATACATACATGCAGGTCATGGCCTTATGGCATGTGCATTCTCAATGGCCATTAAATGGAGTATTTGATAAATATATTATATTTTAGGTGATAATTCATGTATATTATGTAATTAAGACACCTTGAGGATGTACGTGGATTCATTGGGTTTCCAAGTCACCTAACATCATTGATCATTTTTTCAAGATTAGAACTCCAAATGCCAAGCCAAGTCCTCGAGTTTCAAGCACAACCCACGAAAGTAGACCTAAAACTTCTGGATGTTTTCATGCACGTGACGAGATCTACTTCAGGAAAGCAATCAAAGAAATCGACATAAATTCGGAACATTCCTAAGAAAGAGAGAACCAAGGAATCAGATTTTCAATAAGATGATCAATTCCATGGATTTAGGAAGCCACACAAGGCAATATTTTGAGCGAAGTTGACCTTCGGGCCATTTAATGGCCAACTCATGGGTGGATGATCACCCTATATAAACCCCATCATATGAAGAGCAAAAGGCCATTGACATCAGACACAAAAACTTACTTTTTGTCTTTCACTTTTCTATCCAT